TATATAATGTAAAACAGTAAAAATAAATATTTAAATAATATATAAATAATATCTTATCTTAAAAAATATATATATAAAGATCACGTCTTATGATTTTTTTTTTGTTGTTGCTTTGATGTAAAGTTTGATATATTGTAATTAATCACAGAGTTTAAGAGGTTGTTTTAGTTCAAGACTTTACTGAAGAGTTCTGAAATCCGTATTGGGAAAATGGCCAAGCCCCCCCCCAGACTGATCAAAAGCCCCTTATACACACCAGGCATGGTGGAGCGTCCTCATGACTATCAGGGTGTGAGCGTGTAAAGGGTTTCTTGGGGAGCAGAGATGGTGACACAGCGTTGTCAGTCAATAAAGCAGCTCTGAGTGCAAATGCCAGCGGCACGCAGCAGGTGAGCTCTGCAGCAGCGGAGAGCGGACAGATGTCGAGCTACTCCAGAAAATCAATGCAACCCCTCAAACGCTGGTCTCATCAGTGATTGCCACCTAAATAGTGCAGATTGGTTTAGCATGTATTGAAGGGTGGAGGCTGAGGATCTTGTCATTTTGAAGATTTATCCAGCATGGATTGGAAAGCATTTGCTAAATCAAACCCATTTGATTATTTCAGAGAAGAACAGAGTACAAATGATAGTCAATAGCTGGCTTTGTTTAGATTGGTATTGATGTAGTTTATTGGCAGGTGGCGGGGAAAGAGGCAATCGTAGATTGTTTTTCTTAAGCATAGCTCTGATACAGGAGCACAATGCTGAAAATCCTGGAAAGCAGAAGCCAACGCTGTGACAGAGACCATATAATCCCTACATTTCAACTGAATGAAGAGACACTCGCATATAAACAAATCTCTCATATACTGTATAAACATATACATTACATATAAAGAAAATCTCTATCACCTGCGTCAATCATAGAAAATCCCATATTACTCAACCACTAATAAGTATGCATTTTCTCATAAAAAAAAAACCAGAAAACATTATTGTCTATTAAAACCAAATCTTTTTTAACACTTTAATCATTTACACCTTCCGAGTAGTGTGATTTCATAAATCATTTGCCTAGAAACTCTTGCTTGATCAAAAGCAGTCTCATTTTCAGGTCTTATTCTGTTTTTCTTCGCATTAGCAGTGACATTCAATTCAATTCATTTCTCGTTTATTTGTATAGCGCTTTTCACAAAACAAATCACTGCAAAGCAGCTTCACAGAAAATAAAAGTTTCTACCTTATATTTAGGAGTAGCTTATCAGTGGTGACTATGCCAAGGTGATGTCCATATGGCAGATATGTTCAGAAAAAAATCATGCAGTTACTTAATGACGTATTCAAACAAACAGTGAACACTATTAACAGCAATGATTATATGTTGTGATCAAACTTGTAGGAAAATTTGGTAGTTTTGTACATCTGCTTAGGTGAAGATATTTCAGCAAGGAATAAGCTGAAAATTCTTGAGAAATTCCTCTCACTTATACATTGCAATTCTGAAAAAATAAATATTAAATAATTATGTAATTTTATTTAACTTGTATTAATTCATTTGAATATTTTATGAATTATTTTAATCAAACATTTGTATAAATATTTTTAATTGTAATTAAAATGGTTATGGAAATATTCATCATTATTAAAGATTTCTTTTAATATTTCAATGAATAATTATTTATTATTAATAATAATTTGAAATTAAATGATGTAATAAGTTTTTATCTTTTTTTTTCTTCTTTTTCTTTTAAAAAATAGAGTACGGAAAACAAAACTATAATGTTTTTATGCAGTAAAGCATGTGTTTTCAAGACTCTTAATCACATCCAATATCTATACGTCTTTTCATTTTTTGCCAAAGTCATGTTATTTAGATAATGTTTATTCATTGCTGTGTCTATCCACCAGCAAAAATAAACTGCATTTTTTTGTGCCAGTATCTAGTTTCAAACCTCTTTATTAATCCACATATTCATCTCCATAGAGTACATATCAGAGCTCCTTGTTAAAGAGTCCTTGTGATTCGTCCTGCCGTTTCATTTAATTTTAAATATTATCTAGCAGAATGTACAACCTGCCAGCAGAGCTGCCCTCATTTAAAGTCATAAGTTTTGTGGGTTTTCATTCACAAGGTTGTGCGAAGCTATTTGCAGTGACAGCAGATATTATCTGACATTTTGGAGGTGGATGCTGCAGTGAATGTCAAATCAGAGACAGAATTCTCTCCCATTTCTGTTGCACACAAGGATGTTGTAAGTAATGCAAGGAATAATGCCTTTTGTATAACCTAAAGGAAAATTGGTGCAAAATTTACAGGAACCAGAACAAATTGAATGCACCGAGGCGTCCCAGGACAAACTGTCTCGTGTTTTGTCCTGCAGTGCAGTGTTCTGTTGTTTATCTTGCACAGCATCCTTTAATGTCTATGTAAAGGCAATTCAGAGAATTGTTTCTGAAGCCATTATAAATGTTAGAAATGTATTGCTGAAAACACATTACAAAGACTGTGAACCATGTAGTACTGAATTGTGGAGTTAGACCTTTAAATAGGTTTTCACCATTTTCGTGTTCAGGATTTTTTGGGAGGGGCTGAAATCAGAGAATACTGCTTATTTTATTTACATGGCGGGGTTTTTTATCATTCAAATTTGGCCATGTCACAATCACCTGCTGGAGTGCCCATGAGCTCCTCCAGAGGGGACTCCCTCCCTCCTTGTTCACTATCTTTCTAACATGGACTTCATTCCCCATAATCCTTTGCACACACTCATCAGCACTCATTGTTTGCACATGTGTCTTGTTGCTCACCTTATATAAGCCTGGTTCATTCTGTCATTCGTTGCTAAGTCTTGTATTGCAATTCTAAGCTTCGTTTCTTGGTTCTCTCTTGTCTTGTTTCCTGGATTTGTTTCCCTGCCTGTTTTGGATTTATCTTTGCCCTATTGTTATTGTTTGGCCTGATTGCCCATGTTATGACCTTTGCCTGTTTTTGGACTTTGAATTGTGGATTACCCCTTTAATAAATACTGCGTCTGGTTCCTCAACCTTCGTGTACCTGTGCTGTTTCATGACATGCTGGGTGGTTAATAACACATTTTTCTGTGTTGTGACAAACTCATAACACATATTTAATATTGCTTTACACTACACAGACTATAACACCCTGAAGCTCTGACGCTTTATTTCTCCCTTTCATTATTTAAATGCAAGGCCATCCATTTCGTTATTAAAAAGAGCTGTCCATGTTGCTTCTGAGAGTTCTCAGCCTTATTTTCTTTTCACTTGTGCTTCTTTGTTATTTACTCAAGAGGAAGCTGCTGGTTTGAAGCTTCTCATAATAATAAATATACTGTTAAAATTGCATTTGAGTATTTTTTAAAAGCTGCAACTTTCACACTTCCTACTTAAAAGACGGTAATGCGATGATGTTTTTAAGGCTACAATTGTTCTTATCATCCTTACAATCAAAAAGCATTCCAGACTTCAATTTATGACTTCAATAATCTTTTTTAGGGTCCTTGAGTGCTCGAGCCAGATATCATGAAGTGGAACCTCTTCAAAAAGAAGCCAGAAGCCATGGTGGGCCCGGAGCCCACGGGACTCGGCGTCACCCACCCATCACACACCATGACGATGGCCCCCGCCGTCTCCACACCTGCGGACAACTCCACCGAATCTGAGGGACCCGTCAACAAGAATGATGTCTTTGAGGAAATCAAAAGCAAGTTCCTCAATGAGATCGATAAAATCCCATGTAAGTCCTGCTGAGATATTTTACAGTCCCACTAGATCAAGAAAATCAATAGTGTATCATTATGCCGAAGATGTTTTATGGATTTTAACACTAGCCAATTTGTCTGGCCCCTAGATATCTGACCAATCTGACCTACAGTAGAAGTGCAATGCAATAAAGAGCAACTTAAAGGAATAGGTCACCCAAAAATGAATATTTGCTGAGAATTTACTCACCCTCAATCCATCCAAGATGTAGATACGTTTTTTTCTTCATCGGAACAGATTTGGAGAAATTTTGCAGTACACCACTTGCTCACTAATTGATCCTCTGCAGTGAATGGGTGCCGTCAGAATGAGAGTCCAAACAGCTGATAAAAACATCATAATAATCCACACCACTCCAGTTCATCAGTTAATGTCTTGAGGAGCAAAAAACTGCTTGTTTGTAAGAAGCTTATTCATCATCAAGACATTTTTAACTTCAAACCGTTGTTTGGAGTGGTGTGGATTACTTGTGGATTATTGTGATGTTTTTATCAGCTGTTTGGACTCTCATTCTGACGGCACCCATTCACTGCAGAGGATCCACTGGTGAGCAAGTGATGTAATGCTACATTTCTCCAAATCTGTTCTGAAACAAATTCATCTACATATTGGATGGCCTGAAGGTGAGAACAATTTTAGCAAATTTTCAATTTTGGGTGAGCTATTCCTTTAATGTGATTTTTCTTTTTATAGCCCTTCAAATCAACATGCAATCTCAATTCACTATTTAGTTTCTTTGTTGAAAACTTGTTTGTATTGTAATATTTAATTAAAATCTCATAACTTGCTCCACCCTTTTTGGTTGACATTTCAAAAATCACCTTCAAGGCTGCTCAGTGACAACCTTTCGTCTTAATAAATCTCTTTGATTTTTATCCCATGATGCTCTGCAGTGCCTCCGTGGGCGCTCATCGCCATCGCTGTTGTGGCCGCCCTCCTCATCCTCACCTGCTGCTTCTGTATCATTAAGAAATGCTGCTGTAAGAAGAAGAAGAACAAGAAAGGCAAAAAGGGAAAGGACGGCTTCAACATGAAGGACATGCAGGGTGGAGATGTATGTAACAGAGTGTTCAGTAGCTCCCAACATGACAGCATTACATAATGTAGCTAAAACAACTTTGATGCACTCTTTAATCTGTTTGAATTTAATAAAACTAGATGATATTAACTTCTGTATTAACTGGGCACACCAACAAAATTAGTGTTGCATCATTAGACCACTTTAGTGTGGGTTGCACTGATAATGAAGGAGAGTTTGTCATGTGATGGTTTGCTTTATTGTGTTTGTGAGTGTTTGGTTTTCTTTGAAGAGAAATGGTACACTGGATGTTCCAAAACAAGTGTGTTGCTCATGTAATTTTTGATCATAAAAAGATAGGAGCTTTAAAAATCATTCTAAGAAATTATTACATACATAATAATACATACAGTGTATAATTACAAAGACTTAATGTTTCCAGAAACATACTGTTTCCCTTAGTGTTAGGGAAAGTTACTCTTTAAAGTAAGGTATTACAATATTGTTACTTCATTAAAAAGTAACTAATTACGTTGCGTTACTAATGCATTGCGTTACTTTTTGTCATCTGAGCCGGGCTTGCTTGTTAATTTTTAATAACAAAAAAATCCAAAAGTTATATTTTTGGTAACTGTAAAGGCCCTTTCACACCAAAAATGAATAAGTGAAATTAATAAGCCTCAGGCTGAAGTACCTCTGCCTTTGCACCTCACTCCAGGAGGACAGGAGAGGTGCCAGTGAATAAATGGGAAAACATTTGCATTACTTACTTGGAAAAAGTAGGACATTTTCTTGTAAATTGAAAAGTAAAGTAAGAAAAGGCACTCATTTCATAGTCTGATCCTTAAACACTTAATGCCAGAACTTTATTCCAAACCTGTATGCATACAGATGTCTTAAACATGGCAGTGTGTCATTTCTCAGAATGGTGCTCTTGATGTTGTTTACTGTCTTGACTGTCTTTGGTTCTGTTTTATGGTGTGTCGTGAGTTCAACCTCTCCCTCTCTCTCTGCTCATGGGCGTCGGCGCTACGGTAGGTGGACGGATGAACGGCACAGCTGTTTGGCCGCTGAGTGCTAGCACCGCGTGGGTGGGATTGGATGGAATGGCTGTTGTTAACTTCCTTGTTTTAAGCCTTTTGTACCTGCTGCTTGACAAGAATACAATTAAAAACAAAGGGAAGTTACAATGCAAATGAAAATTAAGTGCACCGAAAATAATCATAATACAATAACAAAGAGTCGTACTTGTGTGGGAGGTATGAATGGAATAACTATTAACTCACTAATACTGGCAAGATGTTTGGAGTTAGTAAGAGACGACCCACAAGACTCACAATGAATGCATGTGTTAAAGGGCATGGCTGTTTTAACTGCACTAAAAGTCCTGATGTCTCAGGGACTATAACTAGCAGTAAACCTTACGCTTGTACGCTTGTCATTAGGGCTGCACGATTATGACAAAAATCATAATTGTCGATTATTCCCTTGAAATTGTAATTACGATTATCACAATTTACATTGAATGATGTTTATAACATTGTTTGATGCAACTGCATGCCATATTTTTATATGAAAATAAACAAGCTGAAAACACTCTAATTGAAAAACTTTTAGTGCTTTTCTATAGTATTAAGCCTCAAATGTCAACTATACATCGGATTGGTTTCTTCTTTAACTTATAAAAAAGTAAAAATATGAATGGTATTATAATGTTATACTAAAACTAAAATTTAAATAATAGGGAAAATCCCTTAAGATAACATGTAGAAAAAAAAAACATAGCTTAAGCACGCATGGTAACATAAGTGGACTTTGAACGATTAATTGCCGCTTTGAATGATTACGTAATCCATAATTGTAATCGCAATTAGAAATTTGATTAATTGTGCAGCCCTACTTGTCATATAAGCTCTTGTTGTATGATCATACAACCAGTTCAGTTTAATATATATTAACAAAAATATATGAAGTACCGGATTCTTTCAAAACATGTGTAAAATGACCAATTTGTTTTTAATATTAGCACATATTCTGCTGTGCCCTTTAATTTGTTGCTATATGGATATGGTTAGAAACTGACTTGAGAGTGACAATTTGTTTGGTGGCACATTAAAATATATATCAAAAAGTCTTTAAATCTGGGGCCGGTTGCATAAAAGGTTTAGACTGGTCTTGAAAGTTAGTCATCTAATTTTTTTATGGTCATAAAGTTTTTAAACTTCAGTTACATAAAAGCATAGATTAGTCTAAGTTAAATCCAAAAATAAGACTGATTACTTATTGGCTAACCTAGAGTCTAAGTTTATGCACCTGGACCCAGTTTACAGTCCTCATTAATTTTCTTTTAAAAACTTGGTTAATCTTTTGAGCCCTGAATGATATTGTCCTGAAGATGCAATGCACAAAGATTCAGTTCATATAACATAATAATTCTTTTATGCATCATCTTTACATAAAGTGAACCCAAAATCTATTTGGACGCTTCAGCCACACTTAAAAATGTCTCACTGTAATTGCATTAGATAACAAAATATCAAACCAAGTGGCATTTGAGAGACAAATGATGCTTGATTTTGATATGTTGCTATCTAATTCCAGGTTTTTCATCATTTCTTTAAAAAATATTCTGTATTTCTATTATATTTTCATAGGTAACGATGGTAATACTGTTTGTTAATTTTAACATTGAAAACTCTTGTTGTAATGCAATGTCTTTCAGACATTTTGAAGTGTGATTAGTGTCCAAATACTTTTAAAGGCCACTGCACAATGCTGGAATTGTGACCTATTTCTGGAAACAAGAAATTAATTCTGCACATTATAGATTTCTTTTCTCTTCCTGCAGTTTGGATGATGTTCAAAAACACACAAGAACGACATGTCAGCATTTCATACGCCAAGAATAGCACAAAGGAGTCTGTTCTTCTTTAAAAATTTGCTGTCATCACTCGTTCCCTGGAGTATCACTGATGAACAGTTAAATTTATCATGCTGATGAGAAAACGCTTGCATGCCAAATTATGCATATCAATAAAAGCTCTTTCGTTTTCCATTTACTACCAAACCTAATTTGAATGTAGAGTCAAAACATCATTTTATTAAACTCTGGAAAGCCAAGATAAAAAAGTGTCACCAATAAAAATTGTGAACTCAAGCCATTTGCAACATCCAGTCCTGAATGACAACATTACTCCGAGTGCACTATGGCAGATAACTAGTAGGTCAGGCCAGGTAAAAGCATCTCCAACCTTTCTGCAACTGACCGGGCCCTGAGCTTGTGGCATGCTTATAGTCGGGAGCCAGATATACTTTCATCCCAGACATCGACTTGCTAAAACAATTTGTCATTTGCACCACAGAAACACCAGGATGATGATGATGAAGAAGGAGAAACTGGTTTGACGGAGGAGGAGAAAGAGGAAGAGGAAAAAGAAGTGGAGAAACTTGGAAAGCTTCAGTATTCTTTGGATTACGACTTCCAGGATAACAAGGTCAGAATGTCAGATTAATGCTGGAATATAAACTAGTAACATTGCCCTGAATCATATCCAATGCTAGTTTCATACTAAATTTGGGGTGCTTATTCCAATAACAGTGGCTGTTTTGCTCAAGCTCGTCACATTTATCACAAAAAATGATGCATTTTGTAGCATTTTTGCTTTCGACAGCCATTTGTAAGGCGAAAAAGTCTTGTATTATCCCTTAATCAGCAGAAAAGCATCACAAAGACATGATTCCCGTCTTCCTCTGAGCCAGATTACAACCAATTTGTAAAATTTTCAGCCCATTTTTACATGTATTATTTTATGCTTAATCCTGATTTCAAGGTCAGCGATAGGTCTGCTACATCTCCAGGTGTATTCTACTACATCCAAACAGCCACAGAAAATTACAGATTTTGTGAGAAAAGCGTATTTATTGTTTTATAAACGTGTTAATGTAAAGTTCTTCAACATTAAATGGAGTATTTGAATATATTTTTTCCAAGTTTAAAGTTAAGTGATACCTTTTGAATACTTTTTGTTGACTGCTTTTGTTGTTTTGATATATAAGCTGATGCAGTTTCTATATAATTTGAATATTCATTTGTATTTTGTGAAAAAAAAATTTGATGGAAAGGCCTTTTTTTGCGAATATATTGAGATTTATTTATTTTTAAGATGCCGGGGTGTATGTATTGTCAGTTATTCATTCTGTCTCATATTAAAATATATTAAGATGCATTTGGCCACGATTATATGATTAAGAAAGTAAGTGTTGTTGGAGTAATTAATGGGAATTTTGTGAAGATTCTCAAGAATCCTCATTTTGTGTCCCACTGAAAAATAACAGCATGTTTGTGTTTCACATGAGACTGAGTAAACAATGACAGATTTTTTTTTATTTTATACATCTCTTTAAAGTTCCCTGTATGATGGTCTTGGAGAACGTTTGTGCTCCTACAGTGCTGTATCTTTTACTAATGACAGTGTTTAACAGCACGGCTCAGTATCAGCTGAGTCACAGCTGTAGGTAAAGTTGCATACGGCTCACCAAAATGAGTTTAAACAAGCGTAAATGACAGTGAATCGTTATTCTTACTATGTATTTTAATGCAGTCAGTTCCCATTTTAATATGCATAAAGCCACAGGATATTGCTAGAGTGTCTGGAACACTGGAACAGTACTGTGGAAGTTGTGAAAAAGACATGTACTGTACAAAAGTTTAGGTAAAGTAAGATTTTTAAAATGTTTTTAAAAGAAGTCTCTTGCTCACCAATTCTGCATTTATTTGATGAAAAATACAGTAAAAACAGTCATATTTTGAAATTTGATTACAATTTCAAACAAGTGTTTTCAAATATAATTAAATGCTGTCATTACTCCAGTCTTCAGTGTCACATGATCTTCAGAAATCATTCTAATATGCTGATTTTTCCTTTGTTTTTATCCACAGCTGACAGTGGGAATCTTGCAATGTGCCGATCTGATTTCCATGGACTCTGGCGGAACATCCGACCCTTATGTTAAAGTGTTCATCCTACCAGACAAGAAGAAGAAGTTTGACACTAAGGTGCACAAAAAGACCCTCAACCCAGTGTTCAATGAGTCATTTGTGTTTAAGGTAAGACATTTACCATTTTAAAATGACTCATTATGTCAGTCATATTGATGCATAAAGCATTTCCAATTATAATATTATCCTTAAAGAGTATATATTATAAACAATATATATTCTAAATTAATCAAATAAATGATTTCTCAAAAGTCAAACATGCGTTTTTTAATAATACATAATAAAACTTGACCCTGGCTCTAACACATTACATATATTGAAGAAAACAAAAATACTGCTATGCCTCGAGTGATGTTGGTCTGTCATTAGTGTTCATTGGCTGTTTTCTGCAACACCAGCATTTTGGTCTTAATGCTTCCAGCAGCTCCTGAATGAGCTTTAGTTTCCCAGAGTCAGTAATGAGCTCCGGGGGGGCCGAGCATCCTCTGGTGGACACTGTTAGGGCTCTAATAGTCTCACTCGGAGAAAAGTGATCTAGGACAGGAACAGTTGGCCATCTTCAAAGCCTGAGAACGCTGACTGTGTTTCTAAAAATGGATCGGCCGTATCTGCACACTGTACGAGTGAGACAAAGCCAAGCGAGGAGGAGGTTTTCTTATGCAAATGATGTGAAAAAATTATGACAAGAACACACGATTAGAAAAATCAACTGTAAACTGAATGTAATTTTCTATAAAAATGCTTAAATATATTTGATATATATTTAAGATATTAAACTATTTGATTATATATTCATATTTTATTTTTGATATTTAAAAAAAATAAAAGAAAGCTTTGATTCACCTTGTCACAAATACATTTAATATATTTGATTATGTATTATCATTTAATATTTTAATATTTAAACAAAAATTAAAAAATTTAAGTTTATAGGCTTTGAGTCACATAGTCAAAAACATTTAATATATATATTTTTAAATATACTATTTTATTATGTATTATATAATTTGATTATGTATTATAATTTAATATTTTAATATTTAAAAAAGTGTTTATCAGTTTGATTCAAATAAGTCACAAAGTTTTAATATACTTTAAGATATTATACTATGTGATCAAAAACATTTATGGTTTGGATTGAGGGTTCCCACGCTTCTTGAAAGTACTTGAATTTCAGACATATGGATTTAAGGCCTGGAAAGTACTTGAAAACAAACATAGGTCCTTGAAAGTGCTTGAATTAAATTTGAAATAAATTTTTGTTTTCATGTTTATGTTTATGTTTATGGCGCTATTTAAAAATTGTTCTGTCGAACAAGCGGCACTATTATAGATTATAGTTAGACCTAACTGAACACATTTATTGTTTTTGTTTGTGCTATTGATTGTCATTAATTTATTCGATCTTATTTTATTTACTATTGTCTTTTTTAGTTAAAATAAGGCCATGTTCACATGTACACGTGTATTTTTATAAACTTTTTATAAAAAGTTTTTCCTTCTTCCGTTTAAAAAAAAATGAGAAATAGTCCTGTCACCTCAGCTGGAAAAAATCCTAGAGGAAACACTGCATGCATTTAATAAAATTAGAAAAATGCATTTACAAAGGTATAAAGAAAATGCCCCTGAAATCACTTTGAGTCAAATGTCAGCTCGTATTAGGAAGGCTAATTCTTGATCAGAATGTTTGATTATTGATCAGAAGGTGCTCCTACATTTTTTTAATTAGGCGGACAAGCGCTCCTAATTACAAGAAGAAAAACACTGCTCTTAAAGTGGGTGTGTGACAGGTTTGGCTGTGGAAATATTTTCAGTCAAAAGATTTTTTTTTGCTTTAACCCCATAATTTTTGCACATCAGGGAGCCGCTATCAATATGCGGGGCATTGAAATTGCATTTGAATAAGGGCTTTCTGTTCAATTTCACTTTCGATTTTGCGATATAGCGGCACTCTGTGTAAAGGGAGCACATCTTACAGTGCGTGCATAATTATTATGCATGTTGATATTCTGATCATATTTTTTTCCAAGCACATTTGACCAATTACTAATAACTACTATTATTTTTGTATTTAATAATTTATAAGTGATATATATAATTGTCCATTAAGGCTGGAAATGAAAAACACCTTATTAAGGTGAGCAGAATTATTAAGCAAATTCTTTTCCGGATGAAGTGAGCCAAAAAAAAAAAAAGGATATTTAACTCAGACTAAGAAGTCAACAATGATTACATCCCCATGAGAAATATTAAAAACTAATGCAATACAGAAATTGCTAAGTTAAGACATGACCATTGGTCAGCAAAATGCTCACTGGGTCAGCAGGGTCAGGAAAAAAAACAGGTGAAGAAGAAAAGACAAACGTTAACTGCAAAAGAATTAATGAGAAGAATTAGGTGTGAAACCATCAGGTGTTACAAGGTGTCAGGTTCTGAGAGACTTTGCTTGGATAAAAAATCCTAAGAAATGACCCTCACTTAATTAGAATAACATGCTGAAGTATTGTGAAATACATGAAGACTATTTTTATAGGCTTTATGGACAGATGAGTTGTGAATGACTCTTGAAGGACCAGCACCACATCCTCTTGTACCACTGTGAGATGAACTGATCTTCCAGAATCCGGCAGTAAGTTTTAGGAGCTCATTTTTGTCAGTCTCTGCAAGACAGACTTTCAGGATAGGAGATGGACTAAAAATGAGCTCCCAAAACTTACTGCAACATGGCGCTAAGGAGAAAAATGTAGAACGTGAAAAATTGGAAAAACAGCTTAGTGAAAAGCGTTTACAGTTTAAAAGCAAATAGAAAGTCCTATTTTTTTAACATTTCTTTTCTTAATATTTTTTTTTACAGATTTGCACATGTACAAGGTTTAAAATGGTCATTAAATATTTTCAACAAATATTGACATTTTGAGCAGCTGCATTGGGGTCAAAGATGAAAAAATGGGATTTACAATAAAAAGTCATTTACAAAATTATTTTGACTTGTTTATTTATTAATGAGTAATGTCTCTTTTGAGGGAATGTGCAAATGTTTTATGTTAGCAGGTTTTACCATGTTATTACAACATTTAACCACTTTTTATTCATTTAAAAATTGAGAAATTCTTTCAAATTTAAATCTTGTACAAGAACTACAGCAAAAGCCAGTTTGATGCATATTTTATCAATATTTTAGAAATGTAATTTGAATATTACCAGCACTGACTTCAATGGATTTAATTAAATTCCTTTGAACACAGCTGCTCAAAACGGTCTAAATTTATGAAACCTACACATTAAAAACATTATTACTCTGACATTTTTTATGTAAATGTTAATTGTAAGTGGTGAAATGTTAAGTAATGTAAGGTCTTTCATGACACTACATATGCTGGGGTGTGAATTTGATAGGTGCTTGATATAAAATAAATGGTGCTTTAAAAAGTCCTTGAAAGTCCTTAAATCTGGTGTTCATGAAAGAGTGGGAACCTGATTCACAATCTCACACTTTTTTAATACATTATATTTAATATATATTATATTATATATTTTATAAAATAATATTAATTTTATAATTTTATATTTTAAAAATGAAAAAAGGCTTTGATTCAAAGTCACAAACTTTTAATATATTTTAATATATAAGAATAATTAATTAGAATATTTAAAAAAAAATGAAATTGCTGAAGTATATTTTAAGATACCTTTACTGAATACTCTGTTTTAATCTATCTATCTATCTATCTATCTATCTATCTATCTATCTATCTATCTATCTATCTATCTATCTATCTATCTATCTATCTATCTGTCTGTCTGTCTGTCTGTCTGTCTGTCTGTCTGTCTATCTATGGCAGAACTAAGCAAAAACCGCTTGCATCTCCTATATGAAACTCCTTTATATATATTTGTCGATTTTTCTCAATGGTTTCCATGTTAGATCCCATATGAGGAGCTGGGTGGGAAGACGCTGGTCATGTCTGTGTACGACTATGACCGCTTCTCCAAGCACGACATCATCGGTGAGGTCAAACTACCCATGAACACTGTGGATCTGGGTCAGCCGATCGAGGAGTGGAAAGACCTGGATAGTGTTGAGAAAGAGGAGGTGATTATTAGATGATCTAATATTTATTATGATCTATTTTTTAACTGTTCTGAGACAAATTTGAAAAGAAAGCAATCGGAGATGCTTTGGATCAGTACCTTCAAATCATAAACGATCACCCACTGATATCTTTTCCATACAGCCGGAGAAGCTTGGTGACATCTGCATCTCTCTGCGTTACGTTCCTACTGCGGGCAAACTGACCGTTTGCATCCTCGAAGCCAAGAACCTGAAGAAGATGGACGTGGGCGGCCTGTCTGGTGAGAAACAAGCTGAGATATGTGAGACCAGCAAGATACGTTTCATATGTTTGATGCAATAACTCTACGTTTGACCTTTTGCAGACCCGTATGTGAAGATCCAGCTATTGCAGAACGGCAAGCGTCTAAAGAAGAAGAAGACTACGGTGAAGAAGAACACACTGAACCCGTACTACAATGAGTCCTTCAGCTTTGAGATCCCTCTGGAGCAGATGCAGGTAGATTTGAACTTACTTGAACTTTTTTGTTATCATTATTTGTTTGTAAAAGTCACATCACATGACATAGTAGCACACAAGATATTTTCAAATTCATCATTGCTTTTCTGTACATTTTTCCGAGAAAACCAAGACAAAATGCAAAAAAATATCAAGGGAAAAAAATAACATATAAGTAAATAAATAAAAATACAAATAACAGTAAAAAAAAAAAAAAGGATTTAAAAAAAATCTCAATATTTTAGTTTAGAAAGAAGAGAAGATACATCAGGGATAGTAATATTATTATTACATTTTGACACATTTTTTTGTTACGATGCTACATAAAAAATATATTTTACTGTTGACAAAGTATAATTAATAACTTCTATAAATGTATTACAGTTGCTGTCACAGACTGTAAACCAATTCTTTGTAATTGTTTTCTTAGAAGCAGCTAGCATTATTTTAAAGGTCCCATATTGTCAAAACTGAAATTTCCTAGCTTTTTTCACGATTACTGAGGTCTAGGGGCTATTTAATAACCATATAAGTTTCAAAACAGTCAGTCCACAGTAAAATTCACACAGCCTGCTTAAAGTTCTAGCTATTTTTCACGAACCGTTGTGACTTCCGTAAAAAGTTGACATCAGAACTACACAGTCACCGCCTTCAGTCACCACCCTGAGCACCGCCCACCGTCCCACTCTCCTTTAGCCACACCCCCAGACAACATCGGCCGACCTGTAACGTTACACTCTCACTCAAAGGATGGACGATCTGACAGGATTGTTACTATGAGGTGGATCACATCTAACATGTATAGTAAAGACAAACTCACCGAGTCTATCTAGTCATGATGAAGATGTATAAACATTTCAATTTCAGCAGGCAACTATTTTTACAGCTACATTATTGTTCCAGCCACAATTAATCACAACAATGTATATGCAGTTACAAATGATTATATATAAATTGTCAGTTTGTTGTTTTATACACATGCACACAGACATTATTTCATACACGACATAGTCGTGAGATGCCAGAAACATAGACATATGTCAAGAAATCTGTATGCGATCAAATTTCTAATTTGAGGCTGTATTACGTCGATTCTGGCACCCAACATCACAACAAGATGATATTTTAAGCTCCTTATGTAGCCGAACCTGCGCTGGTTTGAATGGGCCGCCTCCAGTTTCCCCTTTGTTTTGCTGTCGTCGTGAATGTGACGTCGGCTGACCCTAGTTACCTGTGGTTGGCCTGGCCATGCGTCACTCAGAAAACAACAGGCCAATCAGAAGAGAGGCTCATGAATATTAATTAGACAGGCCAAAATCGACCTGTTCTCAGCAGAGCTCCTGAGAGGAGCTGTAAAAATATATTGAGATGGTTTTTGGTACTTATACTGCAAATATATATTCTTAAGGACATCAACACCTCAAATAAAACTCCAGAAAGGTGTACAATATGGGACCTTTAAATAAATATTGTTAATCTGTTAAGCTGTAATAAAGTACCTCAAATGTCAATGGAAATGTAATATCCAAAACATATTTTATAATTTCATGGACATTCACCTTAAAGGTTTTAATTTTATTACAACTCCAAAAAATATGGTAATAATTAGCATTTATATGTCCACATTATATCCACCACAATAAATCTTCTGAAAAATAAAAAAACATACTACATTTTTCTAACAAAATTCCCTCAAATGATGTTATACCAGAATTTCTACCAGAATAGTGATTGATGATTAATGATTCTTGAGCATACAGTAAAAAACGAAATATTGATACATTTTTAAACAACTGTTTTCCATTTGAATATATTTTGAACAGTAGTTCAGTCATTCTTGAGACGTGGGACAAAACCAGCAAGGGTAACTGCTATAAGCTTTAAAAAATACAAATATTTTCAATTTTAAATGTCATGAGGGATTAATAATAGAATGTATTTAACACAATTATCACCTTCAATTTAATTTTCTCATTATTATACCAAATCTGTGTTTCTTAATGTCCTCTCACTACATCTAAAACAGTGTGTCCACAGAGAAGGGTTCAATCATTCACATGCAATAAAATGGATAAAAATGTTTTTTTTAATGATGAAAAGAGCTTGTTTTATCAAAGGCAACACTTAATAATATCTCCTATCAAAGCAAGGTTGTTTTGTGATGACACATGCATGTTTAATACGATTTTAAAGTTGCGTCCCCACTTTTTGTCAACACCGTCAGACATTCAATAAAATGTACTAAAATCAGGGAATATCAGGGGCAGCTGTCACTCTAAAGGACCCCCTCGCCACAGTTCACCTCTGCAGAGTACATCACTGTCAGACAGGCTCTGCTAAGTCCTAATGTTAATATTTCCTGTGTCACAGCCATGATATGTCAACACCATCTTCCAAATTCTGAGGAAATTATTTGAAATATTTAGATA